GCACCCGACCAACTGTGCCAACAGCCTGTTGAAAATCACATATCATTCTTCCCAATTTCTCCCCTGCATTGCGCTCAACCCCCATTTGAGAGGGCTGAAATTCCGAAATCGAGAGCTCAAAACCGAGGTATCGGTGCCCCAGCTTTTGTCGTCTATTGTTCGTTATACGAGTGAGGCTTCTTCGTTCGGGCCGTCTTTGGAATGTGTCGAAAAGATGAGAATGTTGATGTCGCGGTCGAAGTGCTTGTCTAAAATGAGGCCGAGCAATTGCCCAGTCCTGCACACAATGTTAGTAAGGTTGAAAGCGAAAGGAATTTTATCTTTGATTTTGGAGGGTTGTTGGTGAGTCGTAAAGTCCTCCCAGTCAAACTCAATCGGGAAGTTATTAGAAGACTGAATAGAAGAGACCCAAACTTAAATTTTCGATCTATCGTGCCGGGAACGGAACCTAGCCCACGTGTCAATCGAAATCGACTGGGCCACCATCAGCAAGCTGCCGTTGCAAAGGATGCGATTCTACTCGGCTATCCTAGATATGCAGAGCATACAGAGCGATTACACCGGCACCACTGGAAGGTGAAGAATTCGACTTTGCCGGCAACTGGCTAATAAAGTTGCCGTCACAATTATCTATGCGTCCTCTCATGGATCTTCCAGCGGACTAGATCCATCTGCATAGGGTTTGGATGTGTACAAAGGTAGTCTACTGATTGCGGGCGATTCTAGCCCTCTAAAAAGTACTAAAATCTACGACGCCAATATGATAGGTGCATTCTAGGCTCTGAAGTCATTAATAGGATTGGCTAGAGATAGTCAGATTGTGGTACTGCTAGACAATGAGGCAGCTGTGCAAGCTCTCAAAACAGGTATTTCGAAATCTTCAAAAAAAGCAGTTTAGGCTTTTACAGACCTTTACTAGAGACATCAGTATGTCGAAGTCCGATGGATCCCAGGCTATATTGGAATTTCCGACAGTGAGAAGACAGACGTTCTGGCCAGGTCAGCCTTATCTAAGTCTGTCTCCAATCTTAGGACTCAGTCTACAAATCTGGTGAAGGGTTTCGGAGGATATAAGCTGACGTTTACAACCCTCAATCGCTTCGTAAATTTATCAGTGCAGGAGAAGTTTGATAATTGGTGGCTAAAGCATCGGCAAAAGAGATACGAAGACCTTGATCTACGCATGAGACGAAAAAGGCCACCAGAGCTCGCTCTACCAAGATAGGCCTACCATAAACTTAAAGCAGCCATGACAGGCCACGAATACTTTTCTGGCTATCATCGGCTTGTTTCAGAGAATGAAAAGTTCAATTTTGTGTGTGGGCGGGAGAAACGGCCGTTGTAATTTGCAGAATATTAACTGAGGCTACATATGTGGAAGAGCTCTGAGAAAAATACGTCATCAATGGCAAGATGGATGTAGATAAAGGCTGGGAATATATCTATTAATATCTAACATTAGCAAAATGTTTTAGCCGGGCAAAGAATATAAAGGGGAAAAAGAATACACTCTAAGCCTCTATTTACTGCGGCACGGTATTATGATTATTTTGGGTACCTGACGGACGGTGATTACGGCGTAGGGCACTGTGGCTTATAATTTTTTGTGTAGTTTTTCTTTTCTGTCTCTCCCGGCTCTCATAGGCCAGTCATGTAGGTAGATTTAGAACCTAAGTGTTCCACTAGACGTGTCACGTCCAATAGATGAAGGGGTTTTCTGGCATGTTAATGGTATTAAATCAAATTATTCAGCTAGAATCATCTTACTATTCGGCATTTTAGAAAAGCATACTTCTTATCCCAGCAATTTTTATCGTTCAAATTCTTGTTATTCAACATTCCACGAAAAGCAATTATTATGTTTTGGGTCAGAAATAACCTTCCAAACACAAAAACTGGAGCTAGCTTTTTCTTCCTTTGACTCCGAGTAATTTTTGAATTAACCTCATTATTTGACTCGGAAGAGCTATTGACTTCCATTGAGTCATTAGTTTCCTCAGTATTGTATTGAAACCTTTTTTTATCAGCTGATATTTGTATCGCAGGGAAAGATTATATCTAATCAAAGGGATCTAGTATATGTAAAAGTGAATAACATCTATCCTATCTAAGGAGATGGCAACGTTATATCTATATGCTTATACAATCAGTGTTAGAATTATATATGATTATGTCAGTTCTACAGATGTACTCCGAACAGTAATTACAATACTCTATGTATACTGCATGAAGTAAAATACCTACTCGTACCACATATCATTAATCTTGTGGGAATGTATGTCTTTCACACACAACCACATACAAATTTAATGTTAACTTTAGAGCTATTTAGATAGTTTTAGCTGTCCTTCATAGTCATAGAATCAGTAGGGACATAAATAAAATTCTATTCTATTCTATTCTATGTCTTTCACTAGGCGCTTAGTGCGGTGCGTCTCTCTGTTGCTGAGCCATTGTCTTGATGACTCAGCCAATACTGCGAACTGGACGTTCGCAGTGTTCATAGAGATAACAACAACAAGAAACCATACCTCGCCTTCGTACATTTTATTTTGAATTGAACTAACCTTACGCATACGTAAATTAAGGCCAATCAACTAATCTACTGATTTTTTTACACACGTGCTTTGTCGTATACTAACAGCGATTGATCCGGCGATAGCTAGACGAATTTCATATGAGCTTCGTCAAGCGGAGAAGGTGACTCATCCTTGTGCTGCATCCTCCCTAAGAATTAGAGTAAGTGTTGGAAGTATTGGAGGGTGGTGATGTATATGGTTGTATACACTTGGTACCTTCAATTAAATGGTTGTGACTACTCAGGGGGCTTGGAATATACTTGGGTGATTATGGAAATAAATGTTACGGGATGCGAATGGTATCTTATTGTGTTATTATGTTATGTTACAGGTTATCTACATGATAATTAACCAATCCCACATACTTCCAGATAGCGCCGTAGCTGGACTCTTTTTGGAGTGATCTACGGGTGAGTGTAGCAATTGATGGTATCTAATTTATCACTAACCTGTTTCCATTTCCCTGGTTCTGCATGCTACACTACGTGTATGACGATTTACTACTAATGTGAAAAGCACATTCATGACAGGAAGATCTTGTAAAGTGATATCACAAGTTTTGACAGAAGTCGGGCTGGTTGTTGTGTAAACTCATTCTCTCCATTCTCTACTCTATCGAAGTTCGGGCCAACCCTTATCATCTGTTGGCAAATATTAAGTACATGAATATCCAAATTTAATAACAAATTTAAAGCTATTTAGTTAGTTTTAGCTGTCCTTCATAGTCAGACTAAGTAGGGATATTAATAAAATTCTATTTTATTATATTCTATCAAAGTTGTACATATAGAACAGCGAGTGGTCACGTGTCAATAAGGAATAGACTTCTATCCGTACGTAGCTAGTTTAATTATCCGACAAAAAACTTGGTATCGGGAAGTTGGACAATCATGAACTACTCTATCGAAGGAAAAGGCCCCTGGAGATGATTTGACGGAGTTGAGACTGAAAGGGAGAGCAAGTAAACTGGAAAAGTGCCAAGAGCTCGTGCATGTGTTGGCCGGGTCTTTCGAATAACTTGCGCTTCGGCGCGTATAAAAATGTTGTTTTGAACGTCGGGATTGGCACGATTCAACATGTAGATGGAGTCTAAAATTATCTGGTCAAACAAGTGGTGTGAAGTTCATGTGCTTAATAATAACTGTCCTGATTCAACGCAGCCCCATTCGTGCTCAAGACCTCATAGAAATGTGCAAGATTCCGGTTGCCTAGCTTGATGACGTCCAATCAAACAATATTTGACAAGAATTATTTAAATCAACAGCAATGCATCAATTGAATGTTAATACAGTAGATTCATTGAACGCAGACAGATTACAAGGTTATAACCTCTGACCATCAGGAGGTTAAGAATATCTCGATAAACCAAGTGTTTGTCCTCTGTTAGTAAGAATTAGAACATCATCAGATCAATTGAAATGTAAAGTTATTCTATAGCGAATAAAAAGAAGAAAGATTTTTCGGTTAAGTTGGGCAATGACTACACACTTAACTTGATCTCAAAAACTTACAAAGTAAGAGAGAAAAAACCAGTTAGGAAATCAAGCTAATCTTGAGGCGTCGCGAGTGCTATATTTGTGCTCATAATTAGATAGCTTGCTCTCTTCACAATCCAGATTCGAACGATAGTTTACAAAATGCAATCTGAAACGGCTTCTACATCGCATCTACCAGCATTGAATCCAGATAGAACTATGAGCTTAAAATTTGGGTGTTACATCCTAAACAAAATTAATAAATTTAGGCTATGCTTACCCGTTTATACACCACCCATTATTAGGTTGATCCAGTGAATTTCTAGATAAATAATCTTTTTCATCATTTTGGTCTGTCGAAATGATTCATCTTGCTGGAGTTATTTGGAGTCGGTGGTTCTTGAATCGCGCTTAATTATTTTTGGATTTTTGGATTCTGAAAATCTGCGGATGCTTTGTCCATACGTAAGATAAATAGTAGTGCTATAGCATGAAGATAACATATACGAATAAGATCATTGATCACACGCCTTTTCTCAATGATCGTTCTTATCATGTGCTCTAGTACTATCGTTGCTTGAAGTATATTAATTAAATTTAGTGAATTACCTCTGTGATACCAACATGTTTTCTTTTTCATGTGAACATAATTGTATCTATTGAATTTTAAGAGAGGGATTTTGGATGTAGCCTATGTCAACAATGAATTTTTTTGTCAACTATAGATAAGCCATGTGGTGGGCCTATAGTCTGGTAATAAAACAACGACTCAGAAGGAACCAAAATGTAACCTATATCTTTTTGTATTTCTCTTTCAAAAGGCTTGGTTAACAATTAGTACTTTCAGAACAATGTATTTGAGGGCACACGACTTTGTTCAACTTTGGATCGAATAAAATGTGGAGAATGTGGGCAGACCTATCTATTTAGAGTCCCTAAGAATTGATTAATGTTTAATACCGTTTGATGTAGGAGCACCAGGAATCGGGAGAGAAGGCGGAGGCATTGGTCCGAAAGGCCTCGGTTCATCAAAATGTATCTCCTCCTCTGTATCCTCATTGTATTCGCCTTCACTCCCTTCGTCACCTTCGCTCCCTTCGTCATCTTCTTCTTCTTCATCTTCTTCTATCTCATACTCATAGTCACTTTCATTACCGACTAAATCCCCGTCTATGTAATCAGCTTCTGTATTTTCAACTGCCATATTTGCCATTCCACCTGGGACCCCCCGACCTTGTTTTTGCATTTGATTGATAATACTTGTTAGCTTCTCATTTTTTTTTCGAAGGGTCTGGAGGTCTTCGTTGATTTTGGTTCTTTCTTCGGCCATCTTGAGAATGTTTTGATTTGTTAAATCGTGCTTTCGCGTTAGATTTGTGTTTTCCTTTTCAAGGCGTTTTGTTTTCTTGGACATTTCTTCCATCTCTTTTCGAAATGTTAAAAACAAGTCATTGCTGTTATTAAGCGTATCTTCGACCTGAGTGTATTAGCCACCGTGATGTGCACTTTTACGTTAGAGACAGACATGGTATAGAACCTTACCTGTTTAAATTTCTCAACGTAAATATTTAATTGACTTCTTAGCTCACTCTCCGTTTTGGAGAAAGTCAGCACTTGTGAGTTCAGAGCCCGGGATCGCGCAACTTCAGCCTCTGCTAACTTTTTCTCTCTGTCGTATCGGCCCATGCTAACCTGTACCTCGAGTTCTTTCGTACGGAGAAGTGAATGAAAATGTAATTCACGAAGTTCATACTGCTCTATTAAAGACTTAAAGCGTTGTCGAAAACTGTAATTGTAAGTTTAGCCATATAGGTTGGTAGAAATTCACGTACAGTTCATCGACTTCAACCTGAACTACTTGAGCTTGAGGATTGTCCTTAGCTTCTTGAATCCCTTCTAATTGCCATAGAACTTGCTTGAACTTGTTATCCCATGCCATATGGTTGTCCTTCTCTGCGTCTTGTAAGGTCTTGTTTTCAGCCTAACTCAATTTCAGCATCACTGATCTGCGGCAGTGCCAGCCTGCCACGACGGACCTTGAGACGATTGTTGTCTTTCTGCAATTCGCGACAAAGTTTTTCGAGCTTTTCCTTAATAGTAGTTGTTTTACTCAAATCACTCCGTCCGTGGTCCCTTTCTTTCTGCAGCATGTCGGCTCGCTTCTTATTTTTCTGATTTTCACGTTCGAGACGCTTCATTTGAGAAAGAAGCTCAGTATATCGACGATGGATAGTTTCCATTTTCTGGAGTGGATCCATTTTGGCAGTCGCATTGTTCAATTCGCGAGTCTGTTTCTTGACCTCTCGCTCTAATTAGAACAATTTAGTTAGCAAATCCCACTCAAACTACTGTTCATAAAGAAAATCAGGATTGGAGTCAGGATACTGGTATTACTGATCCAATAGCATGTAGGGGAAAAAAGCAACATTTTCCCATCTCAGTCAACCATAGATGTATCTAATGCTTAAAACTAGATACCTTACAGCCAGAGATGTATTCATTCATAAGCCATTTGAACTTTAGACACCCATCACGTTGGCTCGCAAGAATTCGTAGAGCAAGAGGGGCTACCGACCAATTTCAGCCTCCTGTTCCTTGTCTCCAGCAGCATCTGACTCTAATTGCGATATTTTAGCAGCAATTAGGTTGGAGGCCTCATTAGGGTCCGTCATTCGCTTTTGTTTCCCTTTCTTTGACACACCCGCCGGACCTGGTTGGACTGAGTTGATGTCATGGTGATGATGATGGTTGCTTGTGTACGACGGTTCATTATGATTGTTATTTAAAGGTACTGATGGAGCTCTTAACGGAGTATTATGAGTAGGATTGATGGTAGTCGACATTGCTTTCTCTTTGAGTCCAACCCACTTCTAAGACCAATTAATATATAGCCAGATTCGAGTTAGTTGTAATTTGATTATGGGTATTTTTATTTTGTTATGCATTAAACGAATCAGCGGTTAACCTTCCACTCGAGTGCTAGATCTTTTTGCGTTAGGGGAGTCGTTTTTTGGCCAAGGGAGAATCAGCGTCGCCTCAAACTTCTGGTTTTTCAACGGTTTAATGAAAGTCGTTGAGTTAGTTTCTCAATTGCGCAGGCTCAGTATCGATGGTAGATTGCTCGTCAAAACTAGTGATAACGTAGTTTGATGATTGATGCAGCGCATAGGAAACTTCGTAGAACCAGAAGATATGATTGGTCATTGCCGATTTGAAAAGTGGACTTGATTATTACTTCGTTGAATAGCCGAGCCTAGCCTTAGACATTTTGGGCTGAGGAGCCCATTGTAATTGGAGAAATGAGCAATCCACGACAACAACAAAAATGTTACGAAAAGCTTCGAGAGACCTTGCACGAAAGGCCTCATCTGAAGCCGCTCAGTATCTCAAGGCAGGCGATAAATTGCACGGGTTTACACTACTCCGCTCTAAGCATATCCCAGAACTAGAATTGACAGCCCTACAATTGCAGCACGATAAGACTGGTGCAGATTATATCCATATTGCTCGCGATGACCCAAACAATGTATTTTCCATAGCATTTAAAACGAATCCACCGGATCATACAGGTGTGCCACATGTTCTCGAGCACACAACGCTATGTGGAAGCAAAAAGTCTGTAAATTCTCAGCACGATAACTCAGCTAATTCTCCTCCAGATATCCTATTCGAGATCCCTTCTTCAAAATGCTTCCGCGAACGCTGTCGAATTTTATGAACGCTATGACAGCTTCAAATTACACTTATTACCCATTTTCTACAACTAACGAGCAGGATTTCAAAAACCTAATGTCTGTATACTTCGATTCAACACTGCATCCTCTCCTTAAAAAAAGTGATTTTATCCAAGAGGGTTGGCGAGTAGGTCCTAAAAATCCAATTAATACAAACAACACCAAAACTTCTTCCCTACATGGCAACGATTTTGTCTTTAAAGGTGTTGTATACAATGAGATGAAAGGCCAAATGTCAGACTCTGGATATCTTTATTATATCAGGTTTCAAGAACATATTTTTCCTGCATGCAAAAATTCTGGAGGAGATCCCCAGAAAATGACAGATCTCACATATGAGCAATTAAAATCTTTTCACGCTGAAAACTACCATCCGAGTAACGCCAAGGTTTTCACTTATGGTAGTTTTCCCATGGTAGATCACCTAAAGGAAATAAATTCCCAACTTGCCAACTTTGAAAAGGTTCATCCCGATCATAAGGTCAGGTCGCCTATAGATTTGAATAAAGGCTCTGTCGATGTATCTGTCAGTGGTCCGGTAGATCCACTTATGGCATCAGACATGCAGTTCAAATCTTCAACATCATGGCTAATGGGAGATACCTCGAATGTAGCTGAGACATTTGCCTTGGGGATAATGTCCTCTCTACTTATGGACGGATATGGATCCCCTTTATATAGAAAATTAATAGAAGCGGGATTAGGAACAGAGTGGAGCTCTAACACTGGCTTTGACACGTCTGGAAAATGCGGGATATTTTCTGTCGGCCTCACTGGCGTTAAAGAAGAGAACGTTTCAAAATTAAAAAATGTTATCAAAGATACTTTTCGAGAAGTTCACGCAAAGGGATTTGAAAGATCAAAGGTAGAAGGATATTTACATCAAATGGAAATATCCATAAAGCACAAGACCGCCAGGTTCGGGATGAGTATCCTGAACCGAGTCCAGCCTAATTGGTTTGAAGGTGTTGATCCATTTGACAGCTTATCTTGGGATGAGACCATATCCGTATTTAAAACGGAATATGCAAAAGGTAATTATCTTGAAAATTTACTCGAAAAATATCTACTCAACGATAATACTTTCACTTTCACAATGATTCCATCGGAAAGTTACGGTAAAGAGTTAATTAAAGAAGAGTCTAATCGATTACTGGATAAGATATCAGATGTAGCGAAACAAGTTGGTGGAGAAGTCAAGGCCTATGCTCAATTTGAAAAAGAAGAAGCTGAGCTACTAGAAGAACAATCAAAGACAATATCAGAAGACATTAGCTGCTTACCTACAGTATACGTAAAGGACATACCGAGGCTTAAGGAGAATACTGTGACAACAGATTCTAGTATCAAAGGCTCCCCTGTGCAATGGCGGATCGTTCCCACAAACGGACTTACATATTTTCGTGCAATAAGTACCTTTAAAAATCTTCCGGATGATCTTCGAGAGTTATTACCATTATTTTCTGATACTATCATGCGTTTGGGAACGAAAGATATGACTACAGAACAACTTGAAGATAAAATAAAGCTTAAGACTGGCGGCTTATCGACAACATATTTCAACTCTCTATCTCCACATGATTTAAACCAATCGAGTGAAGGTCTCGTCTTCTCTGGCACGTCTCTTGACCGAAATATGACTGAAATGCTGGGGCTTCTGCAAAAACTCGTATTGGAAACAAATTTTGATGGCCCTGAAGCCATTGGTCAGATCAAACAGCTGCTCCAGGCGTCATCAGATGGAGCAGTAAATGCTATAGCATCCCAAGGCCACTCTTATGCTATGTCAGCATCTGAATCTGGGTTTGGCCATTACTATTGGCGAAAAGAGCAAGTTCATGGATTATCGCAACTTCGGTTCATAAACTCACTCGCCAATCAATCAGACTCAGAATCACTTCTAAAAGTTATCGAAAAACTCAAGAAGATTCAACAGCTAGCGTTTTCCGGGTCATCATTTCGGATGGCGATAACTTGTGGGGCCGAAGCTGTTCAGGGAAATGAGGCTGCCCTTGAAGCTTTCAATTGCTCACTACCTAAGGTAAATTATGAACTAGAACAGAAATATGTTCAAAGAAAGGAATGTAATGTAAAACTCTTTTACCCCCTTTCCTACCAAGTTTATTATGGCGCATTATCTTTACCTACGGTGCCCTATACTTCCACCGATAGTGCTCCTCTGCAAATATTAGCTCAAATTTTGACTCACAAACATTTGCATCACGAAATTAGAGAAAAAGGCGGTGCATATGGCGGTGGATCAACCGCTCGAAGTCTTGATGGTGTATTCAACCTATACTCATATCGCGACCCAAATCCTCGGAGTACAATATCAATTATGCAAAACTCCGGTCTTTGGGCTGTTAATAGTAAGTGGTCTAAGCGCGATATAGATGAAGCGAAAATATCCGTTTTCCAAGGTGTCGATGCACCCAAGTCAGTCAGTTCAGAAGGCATGGCTAGATTTTTATCTGGAATCACCGACAATTTAATCCAAGAGCGGAGAGAGAGGCTATTGGATGTTTCTTCAGAACAAGTGAAAGACGTTGCGCAGAAATACATCGTCGCTGGCATTGAGTCGCACAAAGAGGGCATCGCATTTCTTGGAGAATTAGAGCCCTGGATGGATGACTCGTGGCAAATATGCAAGCTAGGAATGAATCCATTATAACCTCTGATTGGATTACAGAGTCATCTCTCTGTAAGATGAAAGAGGTAATATTTGGCAATCAAAATTACTCTGGCATGATGTATAGGTATTGAGTTGATTTCATGTTTTCATTATGTGCTTCATTCCTTGTAGGGGCTTCTAACCTAAAAGATTTAGGACAGGATAAGCTCTAGTGAGCTATACGCTCCTAAGTTAACTGCTCAGTGGAAGTTTATGAAAATAAATATTTAACTTTGACAGCGCTAATACGGTAAATGTAAGATAAATTTTCTGGGTGGTGCTAAAAATTACATATATAGAGACACTTAGAACATAAGTCTTCCTTACAATGAGTAATTTGTCATAATTTCCTGTCTCAAAGTAATATTCATCAAACAAAGTTCCATGAAGATACCACGAAACACTTGGTCCATGGAATTTATAATAATTTTACAAGAGGGCTAAAAAATTAGATCCGGAACATACGAACTACCTCCAAGTTTTGAGCTACTTCATTTAACGCGCTGCGAGCAGATAATAACGTCTATAGCCTTTTTGGTGGCTATTAGATCACAAGTTGGGCTTTCGAGCTAGCGCAAGATAAAAAAATATTGCTTTTAGTAACCCGGTTTTATCCTGAGCGTTTTTCAAGCAATAGTCTCCATCTTATTCAGACCTGTTGCCTGGAAGGACTTGGGCGACGGACTAAAGATGCGAGGACATGATATAAAAGTGTTGTGACTTCATTTTGGTTGCTAGTATTTTTGATTCTAGCACCAAGCCCTCCTCGAGCTACTAACCATTCCGATTCCCTGGGAAACTTCCAGTCATTTAGTTGACACTACAGGTTATGTGCGCACCAATGGGGCAATTTCTATACTTGAAGAACGTATGCAGCAAACCACCGGCTATAGCTGAGTGAGTGAGTGAGTGTTTTTTATTGTACTACTTGAGTCTTAGACTATCTAGCACATTGAGCTCCTCTCTGACCTAGGCCACATCTTGTACAATGCTCCTTGCCTCTCATGTTACTTGAAAGGACATTGATATGTTGCTCTTGATGAGTAGCTATTCAGCTCCGTGTTTAACCATGGAATTCAGCCACCTTCTCCACGGAACCTTTTACCCAAAAGAAAAAAAAATGGTAGCAGTGGAAACTGCGTGCGCGGGAAAATGTCTCAAAAAACCTGCAGCCCCAGCCAGGCGAAGCTTAGACACCGGGACCACATGAAGTGCGCAAATTTATCTACATCTCCCTTCTTTATAACAGTTGAGGCCGACTTGATCCAATCCGCCATCTCAGTATCGGTTGCTGGGTACGCTCCGGAATCTCATCGGATGGCTTTTCCTCCATGATCAAGGGTTGTTGATGAGTAGGGCCCCGACCCTACTATCTGATCTGATCGTGGTTAGCTTCATGATAATGGTGATAGGGGAATGTGTTTAGAGATGAAGACAATACAGACCGTGAAAGCAATTGGGAATCCTCGTCGAAGTGAGGACTTTGTGACTTAATCTCGGCTCTGCAGACTCTGCAGACTCTACAGTGAGAGATAGATGTTCGTAGGGGACACCGATGACAGGGGTTTAGAATAGCTCCCCCCCCGGCTTTAGCTGACTTAGCCCGTGGGCCCGTTTTTGTTAAACGTGTATTTGACTTGGTCTTATTTAGCCGGTTCGGGTAGCCAGTGGGCCCATGCAAGTTTATCTAGCTAGAATATTTACATATGAAACCAATTCAGCAAGATAAGAATTTTTTTATTATAGTCCCTTCTGAGTCTAAGACCATGAAGGACTTCTAGAATCTACCAGCTAAAATATGTCTACTATTTCAATGTCAAAATGAGAATCTTTGATGTATTCCATTAGATGTTGAGGGTCATGCCCTAACCAAGTCGGTAAAGACCCCCCAAAACTGTCTGTCTCACGTCGATTGATTTTTCTAGGGCTCTCTGTATTGAGTAACTTTACATTGTTCGCCCAGTATGAATTCTGTTCCATCCTTTTCCACTTATTTTCTTCTTTTCGTCCATTGATATTCCTATTTCTCCAACAAGCCGGAATTGTTCAAACCAGCCTTTAGCCAGGATCCATTTTGTGATTCTCTCTATGTCATCTGGGCTGTTCATCAATGCCGCAAATGACCTATCTTTTGCCTTTCGAAGAATCTCTCCTCTCCCGATTACTCACTGAGGACACGCCAAGACGATATGTTTGATATTTTGAGACGGATGTCTCCACTTGTATTTTGGATTAGCCACTCCGGTGACTTTTCTTCGATACAAATAAGAGTTGAGACCAATGTGCTCACTTCTTATCTGAACTGCAATACTGCTTAGGGTCCTGCTAAGGTTCCGGTGAATAATTGAGGGTGTCTTGATAGAGTAAATCTTTTTTCTGCCTGTTGTCTTGTCTTTGACGATGTTTGCGGCTTTCCAATGCTCAGGGTCTGCCGAAGCTCGATGAAAAGATAGTATGGCGTTCCCTGGACTTTTCCATGAGTCTTTCATCTCCTGGAACGCGGCCACCTTACCCGCTTCTTTTTTTCACCCTTTCGCATTCTCCACGCCACAAATTCTGGTCCATTCTTCAATGTCTTGCTTTCGATTCTTGGCGTACCTATTCTCGGTTCCCCTTGTGGTCTGCTTGACTTTGCTGCACGCAGATAGTATCAATCTCCTGAGAGGTAGTCCTTCTGATAGCCTGACGTGTTGGACCCTCCTTTGTTTCAAGCAGATATCTATCGAGAAACTCCGCTCTGTGAAGACAGAAAAAGTAAACGCTTCCAAAAGCTATGCGGGCGCTGTCAAAAGAGGCGCACAGCAAACCCCTCCCTCCGCAAAGAAGCTAAATGGTCACGCAAGAACCTCAAACATCAAGCTAAATAACAAATTGTTTGTTCGCCTCTCATCCAACAGTCCTCTACGCGCCGCATCGGGCTATGCAATACAAACTCACTTGAGGTCTAAGCTTAGCAGTCAAAGCTAACTTCTATCAAATGTTATGTCAACAAAGGCAGGGTTAGCTCTCCGCCCTAGCGCTGGTAATGCCGATGCCTTAAACGAGGAACTGGAAACAGTTGATCTGTTTGGGACTGCTCCCATTGAGAAAGCCTCGCCCCGGACGTCCTACAGGATTAAGAATGTCCCTCGATTCTACGGGACAATAAACCAAAACTTGCAATACTGCCTCGAACCAGTCACGACTGAAGCCGTAACTGCTGCTGTAGCAATAGCAGCTAGCGCTACTATCATCTCTGTACTCGCATCCCAGGATAATGAAACAAATCTAGAAAGCCCAGATACAAGCTAGATTGTCCGCTTTCCTCAAGATCATAGCCGTCTTCCGCGTATTCTCTATCTCTTTGGATGCCGCACCGTCACCCGAATCCTTCCTAAACACTCGTCAGTAGTACAGTTCAAGACGTGATGGCTTTGGCACAACAGCCGCGCTTGTTCATCTGCTCAAAAATGCCGTCTTTGTGGGTCTACTCAACATACAGAGAAGGATCACAATAACCTCTGCGCTGCACCAGCTGGATGCACATGCGTACCGCGATGTATCCACTGCCATGGCCCTCATCCAGCAGACGATCCAACTTGTAAGCTACGGACACAACCCTCTAATCCATCAAAGACAAAATCACAGTTTATTGCCATCCGGAAGATCTTCTCTGAGGCACGCATTCGCGGCCAAGCAGAAGCAGGATGCGTTAAACCTTCTAACACTACATAGGGCCATAGCACCTCTCATATAGTATATCACACTAGCTATCCAACAGATTCCCAGGGGGCAGGACCATCAAGAATCACAGCCGCAGCCAAGGAGACTCTTTTTTTAAACTCTTTCGAGATCTTGAAGACATCGGCCGAAGCGTCAGATGAATAGATGGAACTTTGAAAATATAGAGATCAACATAGCAACCCTACAGCTTACTTTTTACCAGTTTATTTCGTACTCATTTGCCCTCTCATTTGTGGGAATTGCGTTTACACCAAAGTGGTTTTTTATTTTTCCCGTATACAGTCACACCTCTGTTAAGACGATCATGGCTAAGCCGATATTGCCGTTTATACGATATATTTTCCGAAACGAACTTCGTTCCCATACATTTACCGATTACTCGATAATCGTTCTTCAATCTCTGAATATCGTCTTAACCAGGGTTTTTTTGTTAGATTGGTGCTACAAATGCCGCCGAAAAAGTGAATTTCTATAGAGCAACGACGTGCTCTGCGACGATAGGCGCACCGCCAGGTCCCAAACCAATACAAAAATAGTGCATTGAGTGGTTCTTAGCTGAGTATGGCCATTGATTAAGCCAGTCCACAGTCTCCGAGTCCTTGAGCAAGAACTTTGCGAAACTCGACGAAGCTTCAAGTACTACTGTACTACTACGCTACAACAGCGAGCTGGAAACCGGCCTGACCTCGATAGTATATTCCTGGAGTGGCAAATACGATTTGAACAAGGAGGAGGGATCACAACTGGCGATTTTCTTTGCGAGAAGGCAAAGCGGATCGGGACACAACTACCACAGCACGCTAGCCAACTGTGCCCTGAATTCAGCGCTCGCTGGCTTGAGAATTTCAAGAATCGAAATCATATTCAGAATCGGGTACGACATGGTGAAGTTGGTTCAATTCCAGCGGCTGCCGAAATCGAAATGAAAGCTTTCCAGACAACTGCAGGAGAGTTTGAGGAAGAAAACATATATAATATGGACGAGTCAGGTCTCTTTTGGAAAATGCTACTTTCACGTGGGCTATTGTCACAATCTCGACCCGGGCTCGAGAAAAACAAGGACCGAGCTTCTCTCTGTTTTTGTACTAATGCTACAGGCTCTGTCCGATTTCCCATCTGGATTATTGGCAAATATAAGACGCCTCGGGCCTTGAAAAACATTAGTATTCAAACAATGGGTGGCAAGTGGAGGTGGAATTCTAAAGCATGGATGAATACAGCAATTATGGGCGAATGGCTTCAAGAATTCTATCGCCAAATTGAAAATGCCCGAGATG